TAAATTCGTGGGTTCCCCTTCACTGGGGGAAGTTGAATAATCATTTGTCAGGAATGTTATAGAGATTAAGTCTGGATTAAATGATCTTTTGGGTCTCCATCAACTCCGGTATTCTGTGATGGACAAGGATGGGGGCTGGTCCTGTGCTGTTTAACCATTAATGATTTGGAGAAAAAGTAAATTTGCACTTGGACCAACTAGGAGGAATAGCTGAAACCGACAAAGTGGACATCCATAAAGTTGTCACTTGGTAAGAATTGGGGGTGAGATCCAATGAGATGAAATTGAATGGGGACAAATCTGCAGTCTTGGGTTAAAAATAGTTGATTTTAATGTACTGCTTGCTTTCTCAGTGGCTGAGGGAGGGACTGTTGGGAAGGAGAGAATTTGAAACTGAAAATTTTTTTTAAAAAGTTAAAAATAAATATAGAGACCTCACCTGGTAAGCACTTTGAGCCGATCCAATAGGATCATATTCAGTGGAAACAAGTCTAAAGTTTAACTTAGGTTATGAAAATCACTTACTATATTGCTTGCTTTCTCCATGGCTGAGGGAGGGGGTAGGAAAAAACAGAGAAAATTTGAAACTCAAAATTTTTTTAAAATGTAAAAATAAATAAATACCAAGATCTCAACTGGCAAGAACTTTGGGTCAGATATAATAAGATGAAATTCAATGGGAACAAATTTAAAGTTTAACTTGGGTTAAAATTTTTTTTTTTTTATCATATTGCTTGCTTTCTCAATGGGCAGGGGACAGGCTGGCTGGAGGAAAAGAATTTGGAAATCAAAAACATTTTTAAAAAAGCATGTTAAAAATAAATATTAAGGAAAAAATCAATTTTGCAAACATGGAGCAGGGGAGTTGTAGAGAAAGAGAAAAGGTCAAGAGTGAGAGAAATGAATATTTCTCTCATATTAATAACCAATTATTAAAACTGGGGAGACCCAAGATTCTTTTCCCATCCTATTTCCTAGTCCAATCTCTCAAGGACCGGATTGATGGGATAGGATTAACATTCTCCTCACTCTGGGTATTGCTACTCTACCCAATGCACAGGCTTGGGTGGGGGATATGGGTTCTTTGTCTAGATTGTCCATACTCAGACCACTCTCAGCCAAGACTGACATATCACCCTCAGCTCCTCACTGGAATGAACTCACTTCTCTTTGTAAAGTCTACTTCTCATTAATTGTTAACCAATCATGTTGATTGTCATCATCTGGACTGCTTCTCTTCCAAAAGGGCGCATAAGCCATGAGCTTGCCACCGTGATTGTCTTTGGTCTAAGAGAGATGGCCAAATGACCATCCTTTTATTAATAAATGTGCTGGCATTATTAATAAAATGATTAAATCACCCAGAAATTATGTCTCTCGAACCTTTTGAAATGACACGAGAGTGACATAAAAGTACAGTTGAAGGCAAGAACAGAGACATGGGGCAGGGACAGATCAATCAACATGCATTTATTAAGCTTCTACTATGTTCTAGTAACTGTGCTGAACACTGGAGATGCAAAGACAAAATTGAAAAGTCCTCACCCTCAGGGGGCTGACATTCTAACAGGGAGACAATGTGTTTCCACATAGGTATATGCAAGACATATACAGAGCACATACAAGATAACCTAAGAAGTTAAGTCAATAAGCATTTATTAAGAAGCTACTATGTACCAGGTACTGTGCCTAGAGCTGGAGGGGAAGGGACTAGTAGCTAGGGAGAAATAGGGAAAAGATTTCTACAGAACAGAGGTACAGCCTAGCAAAGAAAAAGAGGTGGGGGAGGAAGGATGGGGACAAGAGCAGAGATAGGGACACACACAAGAAGAGACATAAGGACAGAAAAGGAGACAAGAATAGAGATAGGTATGAGGACAGAGATAGAGACAAGGACAGTGACACAGGCAGGGACAGAGAGTAAAAGAAAATCAAACACCTGTGATCCCATCCTCCGAGGTCTCCTCCAGCAAAGTGCTCCCATTCTCATCCTCAATCCATTGGCCCCTTCACTGCCATCTACATACAAGGCCATATCCCTCTCATCTTTAAATAACCTTGCTTACATCCTCCTAGTCCTACTAGCCTCCTAGTCCCATCTCTTCTTCTCTTTTTCAATTCAAACTTCTAGAAAAAAACTGCCTGCCCTCACTTCCTATCCTCACTTGCTTCTCAATCCATTGCAAGCTTCTGACTTCCTCATTCAACTGAAACTGTGCCATCCAACCTTTTAATTGCCAAATCTGATGACCTCTCATCCCTCACCCTTCTTGACCTCTCTGCAGCATTGGATACTAGTCACAGAGAGCACCTTCTCTTCCTGGAAACCCTCCCCTCTCTATATTTTCATGACAGTGCTTTCCCTTGCCTCTCCTTCCCCCATCTGCTTTGCTGGATCATCATTTATGTCAGTCGATAAACATTCATAAAGTGCCTACTACGTGTTGAGTATGATTTTACCTTTGTGACATCTCTCCAATATGCCCCCTTCTCTCCTCAGGCACTGATTGCCACCCCCTGGTGTGCAGGCCCTCATCACCTCATGCCTGGACTATTGTAATAGCCGCTGGTGGATCTGCCTGCTTTAGGTCTCTTCCCTTCCAATCCATCCTCTATCCAGCCACTAAAAGGATCTTCCTAAAGTATAGGTCTGACTTTGTGACTCCCACCCCTACCCTCACTCAATAAACTCTTGTGGCTCCCTATTGCCTCCAAAATAAATGATAAGATCCTCTGTTTGGCATTCGAAGCTCTTCATAATCTAGCCTCCTCCTACCTTTCCAGTCTTTTTACACTTTACCCTGCCCCATTATAGTCTTTGATCCAGTGATAGTGACCTTCTTCCTGTTCCTTGAACAAGACAGACGCTCCAGCTGTCATTCCATTCTGGCATCTTCTCTGTCTATCCTCTATGCCTGGAATGCTCTCTCTCTTCCTCTCCATCTGCTCTTTCCTTAACTTCCTTCAAGTCTCAGCTAATATCTCAGCTTTTATTGGAAGTCTTGCCCAGTCTTTGTTAATTCTAGTGCCTTCTCTGTTAATTATTGTCCCATAGCTTGTTTGCACATAGTTGCTTGTTTCCTCCCATTAGACTGTATGATGTTTTCAGCAATGCTGTTGGTCACTTCAGCGAGGATGAAAACAGCATCAAGGTCAGCTACCTCACTGATGGTAAATGATTGAACTTGAAAAGGCTACAAGCCAAGACTAGAGCAGAGGGAGAGTTGGTGTATGCTTTTTTTGTTCAGAGATGATTGTGCACTCAATGCAGCCTCTAAAGCTGAGATGCAACAAAGTATGGATCTATTCTCTGCTGCTTGTGTTAATTTTGGTCTAGCAATTAACACCAGGAAAACATAGGTGCTCCACCAACCAGCAAATGGAGAAGTTTTGAATGCTGTGGATAAGTTCACTTACCTTGGCAGTATACTTTCCAGGGATGTATACATTGATAATGAGGTGGATGCTGGCATTGCCAGAGCTAGCTCAGTGTTTGGGAGGCTCCAAAGGAAAGTGTGGGAGAGAAGAGGTATTAGATTGACTACCAAACTGAAGGTCTACAGAGCTGCTGTGCTGACCTCACTGTTGTATATCTGTGAAATCTGGACAGCCTACTAGTGTCATGCCAGGAAATGGAATTGCTTCCATTTGAATTGTTTTGGGAAGATTATGAAAATCACCTGGCAGGAGAAGATAGCAGACATTTCATCCCTTTCTCCGACTAGATTGCCAAGCATTCAAACTCTACTTCTGAGAGTGCAACTCCAATGGGCTGGCCATGCGAATGTATGCTTGCCAAAAAGACTATTTTATGGAAAGCTCACACAGGGCAAGAGTTCACATGGTGGTCAGAAGAAGCGATAAAAGGACACTCTCAAGGTCTCTCTTAAGAACCTTGGAATTGACTGCATGACATGGGAGACACTGGCACAGGACCGTCCAGCGTGGGCTGTCCACATCAGAGAAGGTGCTGTGCTCTATGAGCAAAACAGAATTGAAGCAGCTCAAAAGAAACCAGAGATGCGCCAAATTTAGAGAATCCACCCCAAATGTTCACATGGATTGTTCGTGTCTGATCTGTGGTAGAGCCTTCCAAGCTCGTTTTGGTCTTATCAGCCACGGTCTGACACACCGTATCCTGACCCCAGCATAGCGAAGTCACTTTGCTCTTCTTCCAGCATGAAGGACTATAACCACCAACGTGCACATTTATTTATTTGTGGCGTGTGTGCGTGTGCGTGTGCGTGTGCGTGTGGGCGTGTGTGCACGCGTGCCCTCCCTCCCCACGTAAGCTCCTCCTGGGCAGTGATGTTGGTAGTGCCTCAGTATCCCGTGCGGGGCTCGCAGTGCCTGGAGCACAGTAAACACTTAAACGCCCGAGATGGCTTGGCTGAACAGACACAGAGTCAAGAAAAAGGCCGAGCCCAAGGACTGCGCCGGACACTGCGCCTGAGTAATTCGGAGGCAGACGCAGGGTCGCCCCAAGCTCCGCGCCTGCGCTGTAGCCATCCCTTGTCCCGCCCCCTTCCCCGTTCCGCCCCCCTCCCAAGGAGCAGCGAGACGACTGTGTCCTTGGCGCCCGCGCAGCCTAGAGCGTCGAGTGAGGCCGGGAGGGAGGGGATGAGGGAGGGAGGTGCTCGGCTCGTTCCCGGAAGCGGAAGTAGCTCCCGGCTCGGCCGGGAGGGCGGCCATCTTGGAAGCCGGAGCGGCGGCGGCGGCCACTGAGGGTGTGACGGGCCCGCTCCCGGACGGCGGCGGCGGCGGCGGCGCGGCGGCTCCCCGGCCCGGCCCGGCCTCGGCTCCGCCTCAGCTCGACTTCACCGCCCGCCCGCCCTCCTTCCTTCGCCTTCCCGGCGGGCGGAGCGAGCCCGGGCCCGGGCCCAGCGCGGCGGCGGCGGCGGCGGCGGCCCCGGGAGCGACCCCGGCGGCGGCGGCGGCGGGAGAGGTGAGCGGGGCCGGCCTGGGCGGGGCCGGGGCGGGGCCGCGGTAACAATCGCCGGGGGCACGGCGAGGTCCGGGCCCCCCGTCCCCTCTCCTAGCCGTGCAGACGAGCCCCCCGAGGCTCCGAAAGGTGACGTGAGTGCCAGGCCCCAGGTGGGAGCCCGGGCTTCCCCACTCCGGCTCCAGCAGCGTCCCCGCGGCCTGGCCCTGGGTAAGTCGGGGCCCTGGGCCTCAGTTTCCCCACTTGTCCGAGGAAGGCCCCTCCTTCCCACCGCCCAGCCGGACATCCGCGATCCTGCGGAAGGAAGGTCCGGGGACTCGCGACCCTTGGATGGCGGAGTTTGCCGGGGCTGGGAGGGGCCGCCCTCCGGTGTGAGCCCATCCTTTGACAGATGGGGAAACTGAGGCCGGGAGGGGAAGCCATCGATCAGCAAGCCTGGCCTGGCGCACAGTGGGCGCTTAATAAAGGCTCTGAGCCCATGGACACTTATTAAGCGCCTACTAAGTGCCAGGAGTGGGGGAGGGGGTGTAGGAGGCAAGGATAGGACAGACAAGACTATTATTATAAATATATTAAAAACGAATATTACAATAAAAGCTAGAGATGCAAAGACAAAAACAAAGCCGTCGCTGCCCCCATCTTCCCTGCCCTCCGAACACTTAATACAATCCCTCTGTCTGATTATCTCCAACTTCTGTACCCAGTTATGGTCATGTTTTCTCGCCCACTAGACTGTAAGCTCCCCGAGGGCAGGGACTGTATCTGACTTTGTATCCCTAGAGCTTAGGCATGGTACCTGGCACACAATGGTGCTTAATAAATGCTTAACATCTAGAGCAGAAAGAAGCCTCAGAGGTCATTTCATCTACCCCTCCCGTTTTTCAGATCAGGAAGCTGAGGCAGTTAGAAATAATCCGAGGTGGGATTTGGACCTGGCCTGTTCACTTCTGAGCCACTGCTTTTTTGTTGAACTCTCTGACTTAACCAAGGTCTTTTGTGTAGTAGGGGTCAGAGATGGGATTTGTATGGACCTGGTTCTCATTTTTCAGGTTAAGAAACTGAATAGAAGTGATTTGCCCGTGATCACACAGCTAGTAAAGTAACAGACTGGATCTGAATGCTGGTCTTTAGTGTATGGATGAGGAAACTGAAGCTCAAAGAGAAAGTGATATTTACCTATGGTGGCACAGCCAGTCAATGTCAGGCTGGATTTGAACCTAGGTCCTACTGACTGACTACTGGAAAAGCAATTCTCAAACTTTTTGGTCTGAGGACGTGTTTACAGTGAGAAATTGGGGACTCCAAGGGGCTTTTTTTTAAAATGTGGGTTGTATCTATCATTATTTACTGTATTAGAAATTTAAATGAATAAACTTGTAAAAATATGTATTCACTTAAAATAATAAACACATTCTATATTAGTGATATTTGTGAAAAATAGCAGTTTTCCAAAACCAAAAAAAATGAGTGAAAGTGGCATAATTACTGCTTTACATGTTTTTGCAGCTCTCTTTTAGTGTCTGACGTAAGAGAAGACAGTTGGATTCTCCTATCTCTTTCTGCATTTAATCTGTTGTTTTGATTTGAAATATATGAAGAAAATCTAGCTTTACACAGATATGTAGTTGGTATTTTAGTAGGCAAATGTCTTGATGTTGTTATGAAAATAGTTTTGGCCTCTCTGCTCCCTGAAAGACTGTCAAGGACCTTCCCAAGGCCATGGAACCCACCTGATAACGGCTGTCCTTGGCTGAGATTTTTGAGCATCCCAGAGCTTAGCCCGGAGGATCCTAGATTTAGATCTGGAAGGGACTTGAGAAGTGATGACCTGCTCACTTTATGGATGAGGAAGTGGAGGCCCAGAGGGGATGGGGTGAACCTTGAGGTCCAGATGTACTTGAGTGGCAGAGACAGATTAGAACTCAGATCCTCTGAGTCCACTGTTCTTTCCACTGGACACCAAGGAAGTGGTCAATCTCTGTGTTGAATGGAACAGAATCGGCTGGTGGAAACTGAGAGAGGAAAGGACTCGCCCAAGGTGGAGCCTTTCACAGGTAGGAAGGAGCAGAGCCCCAGTTCAGAAAATCCAGTAGTGTGGGGGCTATGGCCTGTCCCAGCAGCAGTTGAGGATTCCTTATGCTCTTCATTCTGCTTCTTCCATCTTCCTTGAGCCCCGCCCCCCAAAAAAAAGGCTTCTTAAAATACCATCAGCCCAGCACCCTTCACAGCCTCTGCCCTGAGCCTGAGGAGGATCCTGGCAGATTCAGCCTGGTCAGCTCCCCTGGCCCTTACCCTCCTTCTGGTGTCCCTCTCAGCTGCCTCGGAAGCAGAGATCCAAAGCCTCTTGGACTCTCTTATGCTTTCAGGGCCTCAGAGAAGGGTAAATGGGTGTGATTTCCCGGTCTGGTCAGTGGATTCTGCCATAACTTCTGGTCAGTGCAACAAGTGGGTGCCTGTTGTGTGCCAGGTGCTGCTGGGGGCAGAGGGTGTTAAAGCTGAACACTGCATTCAGACTTTGGATATAAGGGAAGAAAAAAAGACCTGGCCCTTCCTCCAGAGAACTTCAATGAGATTCCTCCACAGGTCATCGAAGCAACAGCAGAGTGCTGTTGGGGGTGTGTGTATTTTTAATAAAATCTGGGGACTAGCGGATTAGTGTGACAGGAGCCTTCACAGTGGGCCCCACTGAGTAGCCCATTTTTTGTGGTGAGATGGGGGGCATCTGTCTTAGAGTTAGAATGGACCTGATAGGCCATCCAGTTGACTCTTTCATTTCATGGATGAAAAAGCAGGCCTGAGAGAAGGGACTGCTCTGGAGCTGTCATTCACACTCAAGTCTCTTCCCACCAGCCTCCTGGGCATCCTGGGGCTTTTGTTCATGTCCGGCTTCCATGTGCACGAACCTAAAGCTCTCAAGTCACCCCCACCACTCAGGGAAGCCAGATAAATTTTAATAGTTGCGTAAAGAAAGCAAAAGGGGAATCTGCTGTAGAAACCATGATTATTAAAGACTTCTTATAGCTTTGGTTTCCTGAGAACAATCTGATAGTGACAAGAGCATAGGGTTGGGAGTCAGGAGGTCTGTGTTTCATGGTCCCATTTGTGCTACCAACTGGCTGTAGGACCTTCTGGGCCTCTGTTATTTCATGAGTGAAATGAAGGGATTGGACTCTGCTGGTTTGTCTGTAAGGCTCCTTCCAGTCAGTAAGATCTTTGCCTCTATTTGCCTGTACCTGGCATTTGCATGTATTGATCCATATGTAGGCTGCTTCTGCCTTCCCACACCCTCCATTCCCATCTGACTTTGAGAAACTATAATCAGTTTCCTTTTTTAGTGTGTGACTATAGATTCCTTTCAGAGTTCCCATTTTAGGGGCAAAGCTCGTACTCAGACTAGTTATCATCAAGGCTTGCGAAGTTCAGTAGTTGTGGTCTGTACTGTCTCACTTGGTGGTCTCTGTTCCCATGTGTTCAGACAGTATCTCTGCAGGTGATTCTTCAGTCTGCATATTTAGCCCTAGCCTCTCCTGAGTTACAGTCACAGCACAGTCTTGGACTGGTTTGTTTGGGTTTTTTTTTTGCTTTTTGGTGAGGCAATCAGGGTTAAGTGGCTTGCCCAGGGTCACATAGCTAGTAAGTGTCCTGTGTCTGAGGCTGGATTTGAACTCAGGTTCTTCTGACTTTGAGGCTGGAGCTCTATCTCCTGCGCCACCTCGCTGCCCCTCTCTTGGACATCTTGAACTAGATGTTCTTTGGGCATCTCAAACTCGACATGTCCCAAATGGAGCTCATCTTCTTCCTAAACTTTCCTCTTACCAACAAGACCAGCACCATCCTTTAGCCACCTGGACTCAAACCTCAGCATCCTCCTTGACTCCTCCCTCTCATATGTGCCATCCGTTGCTCAATCTTGTCATTTCCACTGTCACATGTCCTCTCTCCACTCATCCAGGCCCTTCACCTCTCTCACTTGGACTGTCATAATCTCTGCCGAGATGCCCAGTGACTCTGTTACCTCTAGGATCAGACAGAACATAAAACTCTTTGTTCGGCATTAAAGCCCTTCATGACTCCTTCAGACACAGGCACGTCCCATGGCCCCTTCTTACCTTTCCATCTTCCACTCCAAGTTTTCCCTAAGTCAGCCATATCGGCCTGCTTGCATTTTCTCCCACAGCCATACTCCATCTCCCTTTGCTGCCTTTGCATTGCTGTCCTCTGGACACCTGAAATGCTTTGTCTTCCTTCAAGACTCAGTTCAGATAGCACCTTTTGTAAGAGCCCTTTCTCAGGGTCTCCCCCCTTCCCCCCACATGCTTTTAGATTATCTTCATCTACTCTGGTTCTATCTAATGTATACCTGGTTATTTCCATGTCGCCTTTCTTTGTATCCCTAGTACACACCACAGTGCCTCACACATAGTAAGGGCTTAATAAATGTTCATAGATTGGTCTTGGCATTATATTTGAGACTTGAGAAAACTCTTCAATACTAGATTTAATTATTTGATTATGTAGTAATACTACTTTTTAATACATACACACATCTATGCATACATACTATATACACATTATTGCTTTTAATATTTCAAGCAACTGTGATCTCATTGGCTTGGGAACTACCTCAGCTGATATGAATCATAAGGTGCACGCCCCCTCCCTTTTTTTTGTGCCTGGCAGGATGTGTTTGTGAGTTGCAAAGGCTAACTTTCTAGTCATGAATCTCCTTGAACTTAGCCAGGCTGAACTTCGGATAATTTGATAAGCTTAATATTTGAGATTTGAGAGATAGTACCCTGGGAGCTGGTCATTTATACTGTCTTTCTTGAGTTTGTAGATCTTCAAATTATTTCTGTTCTGGTATTCTACCTAATCTCTTTGTGATGTGTGTGTGTGTCTGTGTGTATACACACACACAGACACACACACACACACACACTACACTGGGTGATCCCTGCCCTTTAGGAGGCTGTCTGAAGGCAGCATGGGTCATATACACCATCTTTACCTACATTAATTTTTCTTTCTAGTGCCTTTGGTTTTGCCCCCGACAGCTGAGAGAGCTTGACACTTGGACAGAATGGTTTGGAAGAGACAGACTCCTTTCCCTAAACTGACCCTGGGGTGGGTGTCCTATAAGAAATGAAATGGAAAGCTTGGCCTGTGGGCAGGGAAATAAAGTTGGTAGGTGATAGAATGATACATCTCTCTGTACATGCAAGCACACATACATACAAATATAAACACATGCATGCACACATACATGTGTGATATTGTTTATATTTACATTCTTTTTTATGGATTGACTAAATTTCAGATTGTGCAAACTATACTGCTGAAGGTCACATTGTGCCCTTGGTTGGTTTGTTCGTAGGATAGCCAAATACACTGCGGTTTAACTTGGTTTGTGTTGATATCAGTTCACTTTCAGCATCCTTTGGAAAAAATGAGCATGCAATTCAGGCAACTAGAAACCACTTTTAAGCATTGATGTAACAGGACAGAATGACCTTTGTTTTATCCAGGTTTCCTGGATTATCCTTTGTTTATGTGACAGGCTGTTGCTTTCATTTCCAGGGTATTAAGTCCGTGTTCTGGTAGAAAGGGCTGGATTCTTTTTGGCAGATCTCTTATAATTGTGGTCTTAGCAGTCTTCCTTACTGGGCTCAAACAGGTGTTTGCCAGTGTTGGTATTGTATGAGCTCCTCGATCTATTCTGCTAGTATAGCGAGCTCCCTGTGCTACCCAAGCAGGATCTGAGCTGAAGTCACTCCATGGAATGTGATTATAGCTGCAGAACAGTGTCGTTGGAGGTGAGATGCCTGCCTGGGCTGGGGAGAAACTGGAAGTAGAACTGGAAACATAGAATTCACCCAGTGGGTCCTTTCAGTTTTCTTTTGATTCCTTGTTGGAGGCATGCTGTTTTCTGAATCCGAACATTAAAGAAGTGAAAGGAAGCTTGGAGAGCTTGTCTATGGCTTTCTTTTAAAGATGAGAAAACTGAGTCCCAGGGAGGAAGAACAGCTTCTGCGAGGTAAGATTAGGAATCAGTGACACAGCCAGGCCCAGAACCCATTAAGGATTATTTTGAAAAAGCACATGGGGAATAAACTCAGCTTATGTGAAGACACTGAGTTAGGAATCACTGCAGGTGGTGAGAAGACTGGTACTTAATGAAACAGATATCTAGTACTTGTGGGTGCTAGTCACTATGGAAGGTAGAGCCCTCCAGGAGACTGATGGAGGAGACAAGCAGAACCAGGACCCATGCTGGAAACGGATGTGTGTGTGTAAGAGAAGTAAGAACAAAGCCCTGGCAGAGTCTGAGGATGGAAGGAACCCTTCTGAAATAGAGCTGGCTTTTGGAAGGAGTTGGCTTGTGGAGGGTGGGTAGGATTCACACAGAAGGCCTAGGGAACTATCCTGAGCAGGAGCCAGAGGTAGAAAAGGACCAGGGAGTTAAGGAATGCGGAATAGTCACTTTTAGCTGAAGCTGTGGGTTCTGTGATGGAGAGTGATGGGAAAAAAAGGCTGAAAGAGTCGGTTTGGGTTCAGTTTAGGAGTTTTGAATGCCAGACTCCAGGAATTTGGCTATACATTGGGGAAGCCATTGAATGCTCTTGAGCAGTAGAAGGTCTTGATCAGAGCTCTGCATTAGAAAGGTAGGGCTGAAGGTCGGGAGACTAGATAAGAGATTACTGCAGTGTTTCTGGCCAAGGTGACAGGGGTCTGAACTAGGTCAGTAGCAATGGGAAGAAAAACAGCCAGAAGTGTTTTGGAGGACAAAACATCCCTCCAGGATTTGATGAGTGCCTGTATTTAGGGGTCCTCCAGGGAATCAGTGTTCCAGGGCTGGAATCCCTGGAATCGCCTTACTTCTCATCCAGTGTCATTTTTATTATGCCACATCTCCTTTGGTTTCCACCCTTGAGCTTGAAAGAGGGAGAGGGAATCCATGGGGATTGGGAGTACCACCTCTTCTACAAAGCCTTTCTTGATCCCCCTATTACTAGGCCTCCCTCCCAGATATTACTTTGTATTTAGTTATCTGTGGATATGGTACATTGCTTGAGGGCAGGGACTGTTTTTGATTTGGGGGTTTGGACACCAGCAAATGAATGGGAGAATGTGGTGCCATTAATGAAACTTGGACAGCCAGGAGGGAACCACAGGTTGGGAGGGAAGATGATTTCAGTTTTGGACAAGGTTGAGCTCATGGGATAGGGGAAGACTGAGTAAGTCTGTGGAGTTTTTAGGAAGGGTGTTAAGCAGGCATGTGAGATGGGGAGCTGTGGGAGATTTTTGGTTAAGTCATGACTAGATGGCATTGGTGTTTTGGGAGGATTAACCAAGGAGGGAATTGGATCCCCAGGAGAGCCTGGAAGTGAGAGAGCAGTTGGGTTCCTGTTGTTGTTGTCAGGTTGTCATAGGGTGAGGGACTGAGGAGCTGCATTATACAGACATCAGAAAGAGAGAGGGAGGAGGCACTTTGGAGAAAGAAGGAGTAGGAGGTTGTGGCTGGTGAGCTACAAGGGAGGCAGAGGAAGTGAAGAGTCCATAGTGCACGGACACCTGGGAGATGACGGTGCCAGTGAGTATGGGAAGGGAATTGGGAGGGGGGCCCTGAATGAATGAACTTGTCAGAGTAATGGACTTAGGAAGTGAAATATTGGTATTGAGTGGCCTGCTAATGAGTTCTGGAGCTCATTCATAATTCATGTTTGTGTTTTTAATAGATGAGCAACACCAGTAATAAGAGAGCACCGACCACAGCAACCCAGAGGCTTAAACAAGACTACCTTCGAATTAAAAAAGACCCAGTGCCTTATATTTGTGCGGAACCCCTTCCTTCGAATATTCTGGAATGGTGAGGCTGTGCTTTGGTTTACTTTCATCTGATTATAAAAACTTAGCAAGAAGGTTGGCCTTCCTTGTCTTTTGTCCCTGTTCAGCGCCTTAGCCTTTTTTTCTTCTAGTATCTGAGGACCCCTAGTAGATGAATACATCCAGGTGTTGAGCACTTGTGGGGTGTGTGTGTGTTGGGGGGGTGTGTGTGTGAAGTTCTCCTAAACTGTGGTCTTATAGCTTAAGACCCAAGTATAAATCCTTATCTTAGTGTAGAAATAACAGATTTTAGATATGTTGGTGCCTAGGCAGAAATGTCAATGAGAAAATATTCAGAATCATTATTAGAATTCTCTGCTTTGAAAGACATATCTAACTTATTAATGGCATTCTTGGGAAATCTGGTTTTTTGATCCCAATTTTGCAGCTGAGGGGACAGAAATAGAGAGGAAAGAATCATAGGGCATTGACCCTTAGATTCAACCTCCTCATTTTATAGATGAGTAAACGGGCAGCTTAGAGAGCTAATGGGACTTGATCGAAGTCATATGGCTAATGGTGGCTGAGGTGGGACTGGCTCCTTTCCCATCATGCCCTGCTGCCTCTCAAGTGAGTCTGTGTTAGAGGAGCTTGTGAAACCAGTGTCTCCAGAGGAGCCATTTCTAGGAATAGACTCCTCGGCAGAGGCCTGAGCCCTCCTGCATTCGAGCCACATGAATTTTTCTTTTACTTCCTGTTTTGTGCATGTGATGCTACGTGGAGTGAGTATGTCCCCTGCATTTTTGCTTCAAAGGGGCTATTTGTTTCTCTTTCCATGATATATTTTTGCTGTAATTGACCTCTTCCTCCTTTACTGTCCCAAGTGGGTGATTGGTTGTTTTCTCCCCCACAGAGCCATACTATTTCTAGATTAGTTGCAGATGATCCTAGTCCTTGTTCCTTTCATCAGATTGGCCGAAATGTGGTTTGGGACCATTTGATTGTATGGAACCAATGGGGGAGAGGTGGTTATAGTGTTTTTCAGACTTTTGGTTTGCTGCAGAGACATATTAACCAGTTTGTAGCCTAATGGGAAAAGCATGTGGGTGTATCTACGTAAGGGGAAAAAATATAAACATTCTGGCCACAGTTTTGTTTCATCTTTTCAAAGTGTATCATCTTAAAGTGATTTCAACATTCCTCATTTCAACATGTTGTGCACTGAGGAGTTTTTAGACTGAAATAGTCATTGGAATTGGATTTTAATATAACTATGGGTTATCCAAGACCAAAACTTAATAATTTTTTTAATATGTAATATATATTTATGTATAACATATAATAATTTTATTTGATATAGAAATGTCAATACTTTGGTGGAGACTTAGCAGGAGTGACTGAAGAATTGGCAACTTTTTATGTGCTAAAATTCACTTATTTATTTGTAAGTTGGTTGTTAACTTTAGAGTAAGTTACATAAAGCAACAGTAGCACTACAGAGAGAGCTTCAGTTAAACAATATATTGTTTCGATGCTTGGACTCTGCCTCTTAGAGCCACTGTAATGAAGCGCATACAGCAGGTAGACCTTGGGGGGGGCCTGTAGGTTATTTAGGCCAATGTCTGGCATAGAGTAGGCACTTAATAAATATTTATCGAATTAATTTGTTATTGAATTTATTTTTAAGTCTTTTATAACATTTGGGAAAATGTTTGCCCTTGTGGCATGAGATCCAAGACAGATGTTTTAGAAGCAGCATCTTCACCTTCCTTAATCAGAAGGAAGCTCCATTGCTGTTTTCCAGTTCCACGCACACGCATGTGGGGTGCAGGGGCTGTCCAGGCCTGTCTGATGGCTAAGCTTGGGGCTGCTTTGGGCATCCTTGGCCTGGCCGCACTCTGATGTTTGTCCTTCATTTCCCACAGGCACTATGTCGTCCGGGGACCTGAGATGACTCCTTATGAAGGTAAGCGAGGCCAGGCCAGGCCACAGGAGGAGTCACTCCAAGGAGGATACACTGCCAAGTATCCTTTCTGGGGCAAGCCAATGCCCCCTGTTAGGTTGCAGCTTAAGGAGACTTGGTACAGATCTTCATTGACTCCTCCTCAGATCTCCAAGTTCTAAAGATACTTAAAGTTCTGTTCTGGTTTTTTTTAACTAGACATACTTTTATTCAGCTTTTAAAAATACTTGGAGTTTAAATAAAGTTATTAGGATCTTGGTGGTTTGAGATCTTAGAGGTCAGCTGCTGTCCAACTTCCCACTGTCTGTAGGAGAGCGTCAGCAGCATTCCTAATATCCACCCTCTCTGCTGGAATACCCGAGGATGGGAGCTCACTGTCTTACAAAGTTTGCTTTATTTAACCGTATTTATTTATTTAACCTTTGTTAGTTTTTCCTTGGATTGAGGTTGCTTAACCAGTCTCCTGAGCTAGCTTAGGTGAGTGGGATAAAGCTTAGGCAGAATCTGCTGGCCTTTTTTGTGAGCATGACGGGCCCATGGGAAGACACCCCCCCTGCCCCCCCAGATTTTGGCCAGCTGTTAGGAGCAGTGTCTTGATAGTTAGAGCCATCTCATTGCTGCCTTGGAAGATGGTGGGCTTCCTCTCAATAGAGGTCTTCAAGCAGAGGGTAAGGAATGAATGGATGTGTAGGTCTGCTTAGAGGGGATCCCTGCTCTGGTGATACCTGGCCTCTGAGATCTTGGCCAATTCTCAGTCCTGTGAAATCCTAAAGACACTGGACCCAGGTTGTCCCGCCCCGAGGTCCCTAGGAGCCCCTGTAAGCCAGAGTAGCATTTTCAGGCATCAGAGTAACTTACCATGGAGGCATTAGTAGATCTGTCATCACGTATGACATGGAGTACTTAGTCTGTGTGTGGCCCTGGCCTGGACACAGGGTAGGGGCAGTCCCTGTCCCCAAAGAGTTTGCCTTCTGTTGAGGTGTTAGGGGAAGGTCAACAAAGATTATCAGAGGAGCCATCAAGAAACTCTTCCAGGGAGCATATAATTGTTACATTGTGTGTATATGTTGAAAGCATTACAGAGCTCAGGCACAAGGAAATAGTGAGGGTTGGGGTGACAGGTGAAGCTTCATTCAGCAGTTGGAGCTTGGAGAGGATGAGGCAGGATTGAACTGGTGGGTGGGATGCAGGGCAGAGACTTTCTTGCTGTGAGTGGGGGGACAGAATGGGCAAAGGCAGAGCTGAGGGCACTTGCTGGAGCCTAGTGGGAAGGGTGGCCGGGTGAGGGGTGCTCTAGGCAGTGGGGGGTGGGGAGTGGTCTGCAGAGCTTTGGGGGTCAGCCTGTTACTGGGGAATACACTGCCAGAACCCGGCTGAATGAGCTCAATGAAGTTGAATGACTTTTGTAAGCAGACATGATAAAGAATAAAGTAAATCTCTCCCTGGGTGTCTTCACCAACCTTGTTGGGTTTGTGGGGGTTTAATAATTGCTAATGTTTATAGAATGCTTACTGTGTGCCAGGCACTGTGCTGAGTGTTTTATTGTTATCTCATTTGATCTTCACAACAGCCCTGGGAGGCAGGTGCTATTATGATCCTCATTTTACTGATGAGGAAACTGAGGCAGACAGAGGTAAAATGACTTGCCCAGGGTCACTCTGCTAGTAAGTATCTGAGGCCAGATTTGAACTGAAGTTCTCCTGACTCCAGGCCTGGTGCCGCTTAGCCATTCCAATTGTGGTGAGTTTGTCTGAGTTGTGAAATAGACACTTCTGGGTAATTAGATTGAGGTCCTGACCAGTGGATTCATTCTGCATTTGGGGAAGGCTTAAAAATGGTGATTGTTGGGGCAGCTAGGTGGCGCAGTAGATAGAGCACTGGCCCTGGAGCCGGGAGGACCTGAGTTCAAATCCGGCCTCAGACACATAATACTTCCTAGCTGTGTGACTCTGGGCAAGTCACTTAACCCCAGTTGCCTCACTTTAAAAAAAAATGATTTTTTTCCGCGTTTTATTTGCCGCAGAGAAGTCTTTGTAAGTGTTCTAAGGAAATTTCTCAGAGTACTTAAGAAGTTATTTTTGGCTTTCTTTTGTTTTGTTGTAGGTGGCTATTATCATGGAAAACTAATTTTCCCCAGAGAATTTCCTTTTAAACCTCCTAGTATTTATATGATAACTCCCAATGGAAGATTTAAATGTAATACAAGGTAAGACCTTTCCCTTGTCCTACCTGTTGTTTCTGCAGTTGTTATTTTTGGGAGTCGTGCAGGGGGCATCATGTGTGTACATTCTATAAAGAGGTGCCTTCCTTCCCCCCCCCCTTTTTTTTTGACAGGTTATGTCTTTCAATCACTGATTTCCACCCTGATACATGGAATCCAGCTTGGTCAGTCTCAACAATCTTGACGGGTCTGCTCAGCTTTATGGTGGAAAAAGGCCCCACATTGGGCAGCATAGAAACTTCAGACTACACGGTGAGTCTTTAGAAACATCTCACTTATGGGGTGTTCTAGATGGAAAATGGGGCTCGTGAACCAGCAGTGTTCACAGTGCCTACAGGGTGCTAGGCCTGAGGAAACAAAGAAAAGGACAGTCTCTTCACTCAGTGTAATTTAATCTGATGGTGATGCCCATCTTACCCAACCACCTCCACTCTCTGGAGAACTCCCATCCACAGCATCATTGTTGTCTGGCCTCCATTGGAGGCTTGGTTCTAGCCGTGGGCTTAGGGAAAGCTTCACGAGTGGCTTGCCACTTGAGCTGGGCCTGAGCCATGGGGAAGGTGGTCTGGAGGCAGATATTTCTTTGGTGTGGGCACAGGGATCCTTCTAGGGTGTGGTGGTGGTATGTGCAAGGACCCAGAGCTGAAGAACAGCAGAACTGAGAAAACCGTTCACCTGGACCATAGAATAGGGAATTCCTTGGAGTGAAGAAAGTCCAGGGGGCTGGAGTAAATTGTTAGAGGTTGTTCTGTGTTGCCAGAGCCAGGGCCCTGGCTCATCCCCAGGAAATCCCGTGGTAATTCTCATAACTGTTTGTGGCATCCTGTCCGTTTTGGAGAAAAGAACAGTGTTTGTCAAAGGGCCACCGGGCCGTGATTCCAGATGGCTGAATCAGAAATAGACCCTCCCCATGCTGATTTCTGTGTACCTAGAGGAAACCAAGAGGTCATCCTCCCCATTCCCCTGCCCCTGGGCAAGATAGATGATGACATCTCTTGCTTTCCCTTGTCAAGGGAAGGCTCCCTAGCCGGATGAGTGCCACATTTTTGCGTCTGACCATCCCTCCCGAGCTACGAAGATCCTTATTTCTACCCTAAGGCTTAGCTTATTCTCCTTATTGTTTGCTCTTTGAGGGTGGAAAAATTGGGGTCACCCTCATCTTTTGTAGCTTTTGCTGAGCTAGTAGATAGGAGGTGAACACCCTGGGGGTCCTTGAGTACTTTGGGTTGGAATGAGCTAAGAAATACTGGGCCCTGGCCTTGTGCTAGGTAAGGAGGGATGGCTGGATTATCATAGCTGTTTTGCTTGGGTCTTTCCTATTGTGTGTCACAGTGCCTGCCTTCATTTCTGCCGTGGATGAACTGGGAATCCATTGGACCAAAATGATGAAGTGTTAATGTCTGTGAAGGGAATAAAAAAAAGCCTGGGGCTGGAGAGTGACAAAGTGGGTTAGTTATGGGGAGACAGAAGACCCAGATGTTAGCAAGCACTGCCATCTATCTTTGAGTACCATTGAGGTGCTGACTTTGGGCTGAAAAATAGTCTCTTTTTTGCATTTTCAAGTTATCATGTGGGTGAAGTTGTATTCTCAAGCTAATGTCTCTCTTTCTTGGCAGAAAAGGCAACTTGCCGCACAGAGTTTGGCATTTAACGTAAAAGACAAAGTGTTTTGTGAATTGTTTCCTGAAGTGGTGGAGGTGAGCACTCCTTAAAAAGGAGAGAAGGTTGGGAATCCATTTCATTCCTTTAGGGGGCAGGCAGGGAGGAAGTAGGTGTGTGGCAAAGTCAGCAGCCCTGCCCGAGGGAAGAGGCCTCCCCCCCCTCCCCCCACACGCACGCACTTCTTTACCTTGGACCTGAAAGGCAGTGACAGTAGTGGCTTCTAAGAAGCAGAGAGAGAACATATATGGTGGCCCACAGGAAAGTCAATAAACATTTACTGAGTGCCTCCTAGGTGCCAGGTGCTGTGCTAAGTGCTGGGGATGACAGTGCTTGCCCTCAAGGAGCTTACATTCAAATGGAGAAAGGCAACCTACAAAAGGAGCTGAAAAGGGTGGGGGAGGAGAAAGAGTACTTGGAGACTGGGGTATGGGGCTATCCCAGGGCTGTGCAGCCCAAAGGTGAAGCGGGCTGGGCAGGAGCAGAAGGGAGGGGCTAGTCCTGAGGCTGTGGAAGAAGAGGGCCCAGGGTGGGGGAATGACAGTCTTCCTAGTGAATTGTGTCTCTGCTTGTCATAGTTATTTCTTTCTTTGTGGCTGGCTTTTCTAGGAGATAAAACAAAAACAGAAAGCACAAGATGAACTCAGTAGCCGACCCCAGCCCCTCCCATTGCCAGACGTGGTCCCTGATGGGGACACTCACCACGGTCAGAATGGGATTCAGCTTCTAAACGGGCACGTGCCGCTGGCCGGCCCCAACCATGCGGGCCTGCAGCAGGCCAACCGCAACCACGGACTCTTGGGAGGCGCTCTGGCCAACCTGTTTGTCATAGTCGGCTTTGCCGCCTTTGCCTACACAGTCAAGTATGTCCTGAGAAGCATAGCCCAGGAGTGAGCCGCACGCCGGGATTCCAAGACCTTGGTCGGAGCGAAGCAAGTGAGACTCTGGGCAGCGGAGCGTGACCCTGGGGCAGATGACAAGCAGGCTGGGTCTGGTCCTGCTGGGCTCCTGGGGTTTAGTTTTGGAAGCCTTTACAAAACACAAACAAAGCCAGACCCCAGAGTGGGCGCAGCTGGGATCTGAGAAATATGTGAGAGTCTTGAATTCCTGTCTTCTTAACCTCCCTGTGTGTCTGTGGCTGTAGAGCAACTCAGCGCTGTGGATGAGAAGCCGGCGCTCTTAACGCTCGGTCTCTTAGCACCGGCCCCTATTCAGTTTGTTGGACTTGTTTGAAGTAAACACATTTTTCATTTTACATAATTTGGTCGTTCAAAAAACCCTGAAACTCGATGCCTAGCCCTTGTCGTACGTACTGTTTTTAGTTTAGGTGAAGGACTCTGATCTGGAATGAGACGGAAGTGGCCAGTATCAAACTTGGGAGGGTGGCCGGGGGTGGCTCACTGGACTGCCTTGCAGGAGCCTGACCGCTCCCCATTTCACGGCTGATCTTCAGCCATGCTTTGTGTTGGCTAATTGGTTTTTTGGTTTTTGGTTTTTGTCAAAATGGATGTCTTAATAAGGCTTAGGAGGAACTCTTAGGAGTTCAGGTAGCCAGTCACCTGTTAGATGCTTCTGCTGGCCAGTGACAAACTTTTAGACTAATCCAGGGCCATCATCGATTTATCTCAGCATTTTTAGTGTGTTTATGTTCACTTAGAATGACAAAAGAAATGACTTTTAGGAAAGGGTTTTTCCTTCTATACCACCCTCCCCCCTCTCAAATTAAGATTCTGTTTTGCTTTCTGATCGCAAGATGTCATTGTTTACTTAAATAAATCTGCAGAGAAACTGACAGGCTGCTCCGAATGTGTCGCATTTGTCACAGATTCCTCTGGAGGGCTTGTAGTGGAGAATAGTAATAGATGCTGTCTGGTGGCAGACTCTAGGGCGGGGAGGGGCAGAGGAGATGAATTCTGGACCAGCTTACGCCCACTCAGGGGTCTCCTCCTGCCTCAGCTGCCACGGCCATCACTGTCAAGCTGCTCTCTCCCTTCAGGCGATTGGCAAAGCCTACCCGTAACCACATGGCCCCCCTGCAAGTATCTCCCCTTGATTCACGTGGCCCTCAGACATCGACTGGCCAGCCTTGAGCCTCTCACTTTGCTCCTGGTTCCTTAGTTCAGGGTTAACTGAGAAGGAAAGAGCTGCCCCCCTCTTTGGTCCCCTGTCGAGGGCAGGAAATCCCATTCTGTGCACGTGGCCTTTTCTCTGAAGGGATTCCAATAGAATTGGAGGCCTTTCCTTTCTCGGTCTGCATACTCGCTTGACTCCAGTATTTTGACTTGGTCTGTAGGCAGGTTTTGTGCCTATTACAGTTGAATGTGATGGGTCACCCTGCATGGGATGACAGAGTTCCCCCTGCAAGACAAGACCAGAAGGAGTTGGCATGGTCTGCAGAGAAAAATCAGTTCCACAGCAGGGTGTCTGGGAACTCTCTGTTCTGTGTGCCCCACGAGTGTCCCTGAGAATGGACCGTCCTTAGGCTGTTGAGATGCACATTCGAGCTGTGCGGTCTCTGCTTCTGGGGGATACTGGGAAGCAGGCATCGCGTTCTTTCGCAGAGCCATAGAACTTAGCTAATGGGCTATCCTGGGACCAGTTTTCTCTGCATTAGGTGGCCAGCGGGCTAATAGGCCAGTACTGTAGTGAGGAAATTGTGATGCCCCCTTCTAGGGACAGCACAGCAGGGAAGGGATCTCTCAGAACCCCAACAACCAGAAACGCAAGCCATGATTTATAAGCCTTTGACTTTTTTTAAATCGGCCGCTTTGTATGTGTTTGGTTTGCCCTTGTTCAAAGAGCGTCTGTCCGTCTCTAGAGCTAGTTCTGTTCTAGTCTGGGTCTTGGGGGAAGAGCTGTCTTGTTATGTGTCTTCCTGTGCTGACTTAGGGGGAGGTGAGGAGTGCTGCCATTTGAGATTCTGAAGACGGTCAGACTGTCATGGGTAAGCCCATATTGCCCATCCTGGAGCGAGGCTGTAGCTGGACTCCCAGACTCCTCCACCTTTGTTTGCAGACGTGCCATCAGAATGACCCAGTAGGAAGGCAGCAGCCTGTTGTCATGTCCTCGGTAGTTGGAGGTAGCCGAGGTGGAAAGATGACAAAAATCGGGGATGCCTGATGGCCACAGACCTTTTGAGGGGGAGGGTGGGTGGAAGGTGGCACTGTGTAATGACTGGCCCTAGAGCTGAGCCCCTGGCACCTGAAGGCACAGCTAGCTGTTCAAAGAGTGCTCCCCTTTTAGAAGGTGCTTGTGCTGCGGCTTCCCATCCTTGCTCTCTGCCATCCCCCTCCAGTGATGCCTTCCTTCTCAGCTGCCCTTTGTGTTACCTAGGAGATGAGGACAAAGAGGGCCTGCTTGCACCGAGGAATTTCTCAGAGCCCCGCCACTGACACGCAGGCCGCTCTGTATAGGTTTCTTCCAACAAACAAGCAGCCCCTTGAGTCCGGCCTGGAGGATCTCGGCATTCCTCTACGAGGCTGAAATGTGGCCCATGATGCTGAGGCCATGTGTGATCTGAATGTTACACAGCAAAGTGAGCTTCCTTTTTTCTGCCGGTGGAACTGACCCTTGTTCGGTCTCGATTTCCTGGGTCACCCTCCCTAACCACTTGTGGGGATGGTCAGAAATGTTTCCCCTCTCTTTTAAATCCCTTGACAGTGCTTAGCTTTAGTTCAGTTTTTAAAATCACATGCTTTGGGCTCTGGTGGACAGTTTGATTTTTTTTTCCCCCAACATCTTCGTGAAAATGGTGTGCTTAATGCTGAGAATAGCGGAGACTCTGTCTTAGGCAGTGACCGCATTGTAAAATCTTTGTTTAAATAAAAGAAGGAAAATCTCTTACAGAAAATCAGATTGTGTGGAGCTGTGTGCTGGCGTGTACATATGTGGGCATGCACGCTTGCTTCTGGCGTGGTGGTGCGTCTTCCCTCTTCCCTTAAATTTAGCATGTGGATAAGCTCTTCCTGGCCTTCAGTCTGTGGATGTGGAATATTTGGAGGCCTCAGTCCAAAAGAGCATCACCTTTCTCATTTTCTTTTGGGTTCTGGAGGAAGGTCTTGTCTCTCTGGGCATTGCCTGGTCGATGGAGGAGTTAGGACAAGTTTGAGGGAATTCCAGTTCAAACCTGGGCAGGTTGGCAATTCTTACTGTGGCTTATCCTTGCTAGGGTCTCTTTCTTTAGGTTAGAGTTGAATCAGCAGAACAGTGGTTATTGATTGGGCTGGAAACTGAGTCTAGGCAGAGAGGAGAGCTCAGCATTGGGGCTTCTAGTGTAATCCCACTGCCTGCCAGAAAGAGGGGTACAGGAAAGGATCTGAAGTTGGAATGTCCTAACCCACTGCCCATGAGAATAAGAGGACTCAATTGAGACCTGGGATCAGAGTGTCTCATGTAATTCCAGCACCTGTCAGAGGGAGGCAGTGGGTGAGATGAGGCCGTGGGTGTATCCCATGCTGACCAAAGAGGCAGTCAGGACCTGGGGTTGGGGTATCCTCTGTTCCGCACCCACGGAGGGGAAGGGGTAGAAGGAATCTGTGATTGGGACATGTCATGGAGTGGCATTGGAGAGAGGGAGAAGAAGGGCCCTGTGATTGGGGTGTCTGGGGTAGGCCCAGGGCCTGTTGGAAGGAGGAGAAAGGGCTATGGAGGTGTACTGGGAAAGATTGTTTTGTGAGAGATTTAATAAAGTTTCTGTTTTCACTTGTACCGTGTAGCTGGTCAGTGATTTTTTCAGGCAGGGATAGGGAGGAATTTTGCTTTATCTTAGGTCCATGGATAGATAACATCCTGACATGCCTAAATATAAGCCTGTGGTTAGAACCAGAAACAGGTCTGCTCCAAGGATGAGGGTCACTTTGAAGTTTCCAGTCCTGGGCTAACCTGGACACCTCTCCAGTACCCATCCCATTGGCCTGTAGAGGGTTTTCTCAGAGGGATCCAGCTTTGAATCTTTCTGGCCCCAGCCTCTATCATCTCTGTGTCCAAAGGATCAAGGGTGAGGCTTCTGGTTGAGGAGAATTTCACATTTCTGGCCTGATCTCTGGCAGTTTCTGGCTGCCTCTGGCATGGGCATCAAATTAACATGCTCTTCCCTGAAAGGATGGGTTAATTGCCCTATGGCTCCACTCCTCCCTCACCTTACTGCCTTTATGTGTTGGCAGCCAGCCCCTTTAGAGTATAAGCTCCTGAGGGCAAGAATTGGTTGGGCACATAGTGAGTGCTTAATACATGTTTATTCATTCTCTCTGTACTTTTCTGGCCCTAATTCCTGGACATTTCTGTTGGGTCCTAAGTTCTCCATGTGTCCAGCAATGACTGCAGTCATTTGATTGGGGATATGTGTCTGAGTGGAGGTGCCTTAGGGCTCTGCCTTTCTAGGCCTTCCTGAGAGCCATCCCTCTTCATTGATGTTTGCTCCTGCCTGTGGGCCAGTAAAGAGTGTAAGGCCGGCTTGGCTTTGCCCTTTCCAATTGCCCCCAAGGCTCTCTGGTTGTGTGTCTGGCTTTGCAAGCAGTTCCTTTCCAAAGTAAAAAGGGGACAGAGGTCACACCAAAAACCCCATGCTTCCCCAGTGACCAGGACCCTGAATGTTAGGTAGCATCCTAGGGAAAAGCATGTCTTTGCTCCTGCTTGCATTTCCAAGAAAGGCTGGGCAGTTCAACTGGAAATTGGAAAGTAGTTCTACCACAGGGCAGTGGAGTTGCTGAAAGCCTTTGCCCCAAGGGATTGGAATTTTTAAAAGCCCGTTAAGAAAGTTCTTCGGCTCTCCTCTTGTCCCTGGACTGAATAGCTCCCACAGCTCCAGGAGACCTGAAGGAAGGATGTAGGGTGGCTGAGAGTGATGAACTGAGCTGTGCTGGGGCTGCAGGCTTCCTCCAGTCTGTGACCCAAAGAATATGGCTTTGTGCTCCTCTAGCGCCTTGCTTCCTGGGGCTCCAGACACTGCAGAAGCATGAGCCTGTTGCCCTGGCCTCGTTGGGAAGCTTGGACCCAGGTCTCCCCACCTCCTCCTTTGTCCCCTGGTGTTTGTAGTGAGGCTGCTGGCAGTTTATTAGTCCCTGGTCATCCTTGATTTTCCCAGTGCTGGCACATAGGAGGCACTTAATTAATGCTGATTGATTGACTGATTTTGTGGCAAAGGAACTGGAAGGAGATCCTGATATCCCGCTCTTGGTGTATGGCTGGAAGGGAGCCGGTCTGCTAGTGGGCTTATTTGGACTGGTGAAAAATCCCATTGTTGGAATTCAGAGTGATTGTGGTGGTGTGTGTGTGTCTGTCTGTCCTTTCTTCACCTCCCACGTTACAAGCGTTCCACCCCAGTGTGCCCTCTCCTGGAGAATCCAGCCTTGGCATTCTCTGATTCTTGCTCTCCCATTCCATATAGCGGGCTGGGTGGGGCCCCTGCCAGGCCCGTCCACTGCTCGTGCTTGGGCTGCAGGAGCCCAGGTCCAACCCCAACAAAATGCTCATACCTCAGAGGGCTCCCTGCCTCCCACCCTTTCTTTTACAACTGCAGAAAGTAACCTTCCAGAGCTTCTAAGTGAGTTGCACAAGGTCACAGCAACAGTATGCCTCAAAACTAGGATCTGAACCCCCTCTGCTCCCAGTGCACTCCACCACACCGAGTCCCACGGCACCGCCTGCCCTCTCAGGGCCCTGGTTGACTTTATTCATGCTTTGTTTGTAGAGGAATTGCCCATCTGCACTGGGGAAGGGGGCTTCCATGGGGAGAGTCCCCTTGTGCCAGAGCACCGTCCACCAGCTTCCTCCTCTTATGTGGATGTCCCATCACTCTGCTAGTCTGCCTGGGCTTCCTGAGTCAAAGGACTGGACCTGGGGGCGGGGGGGGTGAGACGCCTCCTCCCCGATGCAGGTCACTACCTTCTCAGCCATGTAGAGCGCAGCCACATCCGCCTGGAAAACCACAAATGACCATAGGCTCTGAAGGCAGTTCTTTTATTTGTGAAACATTTCTCCATTACATAGTAATGTGGTTTGGGGCAGTGCTTGGAAGTTTTGGGGGCCTTGAGCTGGACATGTCTGCCCTTGAGCTCTGACTGTCAAAGTGACTTAAGCCACCTCTGTCAGGGAAGATTGAAACCTAGGCTCAGGGGACTCCTTCCATAACTGTCCACTTCATAGTAGAGACCATTACGGGGCGCAGTGGGTAGAACCCCCTGGCCTGAGTCAAGAAGACCTGAATTAAAATCCTCAGGTCCCAACCTAACCTCTGCCTCAGTTTCCTCCTCTGTAAAATGTGGATAATACTAGCACCTACTTCCCAGGATAGTTGTGAGATAATAATTATAAAGTACTTAGCACAGTGCCTGGCACATAATAGGCACTTAATAAAATCTACCTTCCCTGTCCCCTTCCCCATCTCATCCCCTTCCCTTCCCTTCCCCTCCCTTCCTTCCTTTCTCACATTGCTTTTCTAGAAAAATAATAAAGTTGACAAAGCCCTTTTTTCTGCGTTAATAGTTTTTTACATATACATAGTGCTTTATAGTTTTCAAAGCACTTTACATGTGTTATATCTCATTGGGTCTTCACAACCACCCCATGAAGTAGGTATTATTATTTATGCCCATTTCGAAGATGAAGAAACTGAGAAGAAATCACCAGTTAAAGTGACTTGTCGTAGGTCACACAGCCATTAAGTGTCTGAGGCAAGATTTGAACTCAAGTCTTCCTAACCCCAAGTGTTGACTACTCTCTAGCTGCATGATCTCATGGAGCTTCCAGAGGCTCTTGCCCCACTTCACAAATGAGGAAACTGAAGGTGTCCTGCCCATGATCATATAGCTAGGAAGTGTTGGAGGTAGGGATTTGAACCCAGGTCTTCCTGAGACCAAGTCCAGCAACCCTCTCCACTGGTCGTTATTTTCTTCAAGATTTGAATTTGAGGGGCAGCTAGGTGGCACAGTGGATAAAGCACCGGCCCTGAAGTCAGGAGGACCTGAGTTCAAATGCGGCCTCAGACCAAACACTTGACACTTACTAGCTGTGTGACCCTGGGCAAGTCACTTAGCCCCAAATTGCCTAAAAATAAAAAATAAAAATAAAAAAAAGATTTGAATTTGATCCAACTGAGGAAGGACCGTACAATCCTTGGCACAGATTCTCACCTGGAGGTCCCAGGACCTGGTACACTTAGCTCACTGCCCCCACCTTCCTTACTTCCACACTTAGCTCACTGCCCCCAGCTTCCCAGGCCCTGGGTGTATCTCCAAGTGTGCCCAGTGTCCTAGTTGCTAGTGGTTTTTCCCCAAGAGATGGCACTCTCAGGGCTCTCACTGTCAAGTACCTTGGCTTCTCTGGTCTTGGAACCAGCCCAGGAAACCATTGGGACTGGCTGGCTCAGTGGGCAGGGTTGTTTCCTGTGGTTTTGTGGTACTGGTTTTGAAGGCAGAAGATCTGGTTTCAAATCCTCCCTGGGTGCCTTGGGGTCAGTCACAGAACCTCCTTGGCCTCCCTTTCCTTATCTTTAAAACAAAGGGGTGAGGCTAGACATCCAGCCCCGGGCTGAGTAGCCTGAGTGTGCTCTGAACCATCAGCCTTGGGAGATCCCCAGGGCCCTAATCTGAGGCCAGGCTTCTAGGGTTTTCTAAGGGGGTCTGCCACTCAGGGTGTAAAGCAGGGCTGATCAGGTGACTGAATCAGAGCCCCTCAGTTCAATGCAATAACTGTTGGCTAGGCACAGTGGGGAG